CTCTCTCTCTCTCTCTCTCTCTCTCTCTCTCTCTCTCTCAAGCAGAAATTTGACATCTTGCTTATATGTATTGAAAAAATTGTTAGGAAAATACTTAATATCAGTTGGATAACTTGTGTCTTAATCTCATTATTTATATGATGGAAATTGAATATGTCTTAGTCAAATGTTAATAATCCTTATTGGAGCATTGACAATATTCTCATATTTGTACTAATGTTTTATACATTCTGTTTGAATGATTCGTAAAATAATACAGCATCACGAATAGTAGCGCTTTGTACATGTTGATGTCGTTTTTGTTTAAACAGGGGTTATGCTCACTTTCGCTCTCTATACCCCTGGGAAATGTCATAGCAAAATTGATGGCACGAAGATAGCTGTTTGATTGGTCTCAGGTAAAAATTACTGACCAATCGCCAGACTGATACCTGTCCTTTGAAGATTACAAAGGAGAGACGCCCGACTCCAAGGCCTGTCAATTTTTACCGTTACGCGGCCGCGAGATTCTTTTGATGTATATCAAAGGATCGAACTAACCTTCTTGTCTCATCGACAAGGTGGCGCACACTCAGCCTTCACTTTGGCTTTGACATATTCCAGGGGTGTAGAGAGCGAACCTGGATATCGAGGATGTGTTTGATATGCTTAATAGTTACCTGTAGACTAATCCTGATTTGTATATTGTGGGATATTGATGACGAATTCATTTTGGTTGTTCATTAAACGTCATTGCCACCGCAAAAGGTCATATGATGACGTTTGCCAAGAGAGACATCGCTGGGGAAAAAAAGTAAGGAAGAGAGAAGGGGAAACAATTATATCCCAAGTGTTGCAATGGGGGCAGCTGGTCAATGTTGGTCCCTAAAGCAGACGACACATAGAACACCTGATTCTGTAGTGGGTCCAACATTAGTCTGTTCTTACGGTAACACGTAGTGGATACAGCAGAACTGAGGTCTTTCTCCGAACCTGTCCATATAGGTGTATATATATTAACTCAACAGCATTATTTATAAACAAAATTATCATTTTATGCCCGCTCGCGACGCGGTCTGCATCCGTCTGTCCGTTCGTCCGTACGAGGTGTAGTCTGGAGCATATCTCGCCCATCAAGTCATCAAACTCGGCATACTGGTAATGTTATAATGATAATTACTTACTGCATTCATATATCTGTGACCGGAGTCCATAGTAAAGTATCCTCGATAATCAAGGAGTTACGCTCACTTAAGTTCTCTGCACCCCTGGAATAGTCCGAATTGTTCTGACGTTTTATCGACTTTTATATCGGTCTGTCGTCGATTTGTTTCTAAAATATCAGTTTGAAGAGCGACCCAGGCACGGGTTCCTTATTTCCCGCATATTATAGTGGGCCGGAGTTCTAACGTTAATCGACGACAGACCGATATAAAAAAAGAGTTGATAAAACGTCAGAATAATTTGGACTACCCTGGAACATGTCAAAACAAAGTTGAACGCACGCGACTAGCTTTTTGATTGGTCTTAGGCAATAAAACTGACCAATCACAAGGCTGATACCTGTCCTTTGAATATTACAGAGGAGCGACACCCGACTTCAAAGCCAGTCAATGTTACCGTTAGGCAACCGCGAGATTCTTTTGATGGACATCAACAGATCAAACTAGTCTTCCTGTCTCATTCGATTTTGCTATGACATATTCCAGGCTGCAGAGAATGTAGGTGAGTGTAACCCCTAGAGTAGCGAGGATGATAGTTGAGAGGCAGGGGTATTGGTAGCCCGAGTTTCCTCTGGCCTAGACACCAGGCTTAGACATTTTGACAGATGGATGTCCTGGGTTTACATCTGCTTGTCAAAATGGTTAAGCCTGGTGCCAGGACCAGAGGAAACTCGTGATAGGGATATTGTCAACATGCTGATTTAAAAAAAAAAAATCACATTTATTCACAATCCACACAATTGACACAATATACATAACTCGCACATTAACATATTTGAAACCTTATTCCTATATAAAATTCCAAGCACTTAATATATGCTAATATGCTGAAATTTGGTCTAACTAAGAAAAAAGTATACATTGGATGACACGATTAGTTTTTAATCGACAAAGATTTAATCACATGTGACTGAACTACCAGTGTTTCATCTGATCATTGGTATCCCAATGGTTTCCTGTTTATGTGGTTTTGTATTATTATGAAACTTGATGTTTTCCTTTTTTTCAATGATGAATGATACTTCTCCGATCTTTTAAATTTCACATTGCAACATATTGATGCTGTTGTACATGTAGTTCTTACCTCGCCTGTTTATAGAGCATATGAGTTACTGTCGGTCCGCTCTCCCGAGCCTGTTCAGGTAAGTATAGGGTTTTCTTATAGATTTAACCTCTAAACAATTAAACTAAACAGGGATTCCACCAAAGAAGATTCGATTAACGTTAAAAGATTCAACGGTTGTCATTGCAATTTTCTCTATATTTTTTGCCACAGGGCCATATGAAGACGTCCTATTTGTAGAAGAAAAAAACGAAGAAAACCCCCCGGTTCTGCAAGAATCCCCACATAAGTCGCCTTTTACAGTGAATCACCCATAATGTTTTAATATCTACCATTAATAAACATTATGAAATTTATCTTTGCCATCCATGTTTTCTTGATTTGACAATAGATCTAGAGGCAGCAATGCCTGCGTCCACTGATATCCTATTAAACCATGACAGATGCCGTATGTAGAAATGTGAGATGTAAGTGAGAAAACGCTGCCATTTTATGATGCACTTTTTTCGTTTTATTTTTTCATCAAATCTTGTCGTATTTTACATCAACTTTGAGTTCCGAGTTTGTCCTTTTGGAATGTCGACGCAGAACATGATTTTCTCGTTAATTACATTAACCTATATCAATATATTTTGTAGTCTTTTTCTCAGTATTATGAAATATTCAAGAAACTTTTCACACGGTTCCTCTACCACACTCCTGCTATCCTTGTCCATTCCGTGATCACTTCTGTTTCGCCTATAAAAAAATAAAAGTATTACAACTTCATTTAAAATTTACAATTAATCAGATATCATATATGTTAATGAAGTGTATTAAATATAACACTGCCAGAATTAAAGGAAACATCAAATACTTATAATGTTGGGTATTTTCGCCAAATAACTTTTAAGTATCCTTGTCCCATTGTAACCAAAACACTAGAGAATTCCACTGTAGTTTTTGTACATACAGTAACACCCCCTTTGAGTGTGGCACCACTGGGCCAGTGAACTACCGTTAAAGGGACTATTTAGTCAAATGACAACCGGAAAATATAGTCGATACTGAAAATATTAACTTAACGAAAGATGTCGTAGTTGATAATGATATGACCTGACGCCAACGTCCAGTGTGGTCAGTTTAATCGTTTGGGAAAGCCTGTGATAGAAATATATGGCAAGCCAACTTAACATTTATTCAAGGAGCAATGTCGATCCTGTATTTCATCGAATTATATAAGATATCTTATATAGCATATGATATATCTTATATACTATATAAGATATCTTATATCGTATATAAGATATCTTATATCGTATATAAGATATCTCATATAGTATATGAGATATCTTATATAGTATATGAGATATCTTATATAATACATAAGATATCTTATATACTATATGAGATATCTTATATAGAAATTAAATGAGATGCTATATATCTTATATGATATATAAGATATCTTATATCGTATATAAGATATCTCCTTTAATTTTCTATATAAGATATCTTATATAATATATAAGATATCTTATATAATTGAAATCTCGTTGCTATATAAGATATCCGATATAGAATGAGATTTCGTGGCATTAAAAACCAGAAACTAATTTCTCCCTCGAGAATCATTCGGAGCACATTCAGGATTGCATTGGGCGCAATGGCGGAGAGGGATGGTACGGATGCTGTATTTTCCCTAGGCCTATCCCGCCTTGTCTCTCTTATAGCGGCCAAAGCAGAGGCTGCCATTTCCCGCACTCTTGAAGTGGGCTCAGACATAATGGCGGCGACAGGAACACGTGTTGTTACAACAAGCCTACTGTCCCTACGTAGATCCTCGAGATATTCCGGACGGGGAGACTTCATTTTCGACATTTTGTTAAAATCTCGTTCCTATATAAGATATCTTATTTAGTAACGAGACTTTAATTATATAAGATATCTTATATAGCTATATGAGATANGCGTTCATATATATTATATAAGATATCTTATATAGAAAATTAAATGAGATATCTTATATACGATGTAAGATATCTTATATATCATATATAATATCTGATATAGCATATAATTTCTATATAAGATATCTCATATAGTATATAAGATATCTTATATATTATATAAGATATCTCATATACTATTTAAGATATCTCATATACTATATGAGATATCTTATATACGATATAAGATATCTTATATAGTATATAAGATATCTCATATGCTATATAAGATATCTTATATAATTCGATGAAATACAGGATCGACATTGCTCCTTGAATAAATGTTAAGTTGGTTTGCCATAGAAATAGCTACGACAGAAATAGCGCAATAGCCGGGCCTTTCAGTGAGAAGTAAATAACACAGTGCCAGGTACGAGTCTGAGTTCACACATAACGCACTCTTGAATTTACACAATACATCGCAAGTAAGAATTATAAGTATCATAATAGATACCTCTAACCAGATATTTCTGTTCATATTTGGATTTGAACATGCACGCACTGAGAGGGTGCCGCAGGGAGAATTTCAAACCACAGGAAGTGCGATAGCAGTAGATGACTCATTCATTTATAACGATGTAAAAGATTAAGATGATGTTGGAAGATGATTTTTATTCAGAATAAATGCATGTACTTGTATTCCAGAAAGGCTAGGTGAATAAAGCAAGACGTTACCTTCTCTCCTCGGCTGAAAAGACAGTTTGTTAGATAGAAATTCACCGACAGCTGCCGCTAAAACACACGGCTGTACAGTTAAGGATTTTTCCATTTCTGATATAAAACACCAAGAAAACATTGTCTCTGGTCAATTTCTCGACATGAGTTGTCCATAAGGAGTATCAAACTACACAATCGTGAAGAATTTTGTGACAACGTTATAAAAAAAACTTACTTCACGAAATTGTCCCTTTAACAGGGTAGCGCAACTGTTTAAAGCAACAGTATCATGATTGGAGATCCTGGGTTCGAATCCTAAAGTGGATTCATTGTACTTTTACAGTAACATTAAACAACATTTTTGTAGTTCTATTATTAATCGTTATTGTTTTCCATAAAAGTCCCTCAAGGTATGGTATTCTTTTCAGAAATAATTTGTCAAAGGTTTTGGTTTGGTTTGTATGTGTTTAACGTCCTATTAACAGCTATGGTCTTTTAAGGACTTGCCAGGTTTTTGTGGTGGAGGAAAGCCGGAGTTCCCGGAGAAAAACCACCGACTTACAACCAGTACCTGGCAACTGCCCCACGAAGGACTCGAACCCGCCACCCAGTGGTGGAGGGCTAGTGGTAGCAGAATGTAAGACGCCTTAACCACTTGGCCACCGCGGCCCTGGCTTTGTAAAAGCTTTAATCTTGCTAGGGGGAAATCTGAGGCAACTCATAGTTTTAGCGGTACAGAGATCCTTAACAGTTTGAGAACATTCTAATTATAACCTTGTCAAAACTGTGTAATTATAACCTTGTTATAATTGTCTCGGCCATGTGTTTTGTTTGGTGACTTGCAAACCAAGTAAAGAAATTTGATTGTAATCTGAGAAGAAATCAACAAAAGGGCATACCATTTAAAATCATATGTATGTATTTTAGTTCATTTAATAAACTGATTCAATATCAAAAACAGGAAGGAAACGTTTTTTTCGGTCTTAAGGATCCCCGTACCGCGTGCAAAAACGCATCGGAAACTCTCTTCTGTTTTTCTCAAACAAAACACCTTAGACTTTTAAGTAACAACAGGCCTGAAGCAAAAGAGCGAAAATCAAAGCAGCTTCACTTCAGCAAGTTAAATGTAGACTTAAGTACACGTTATGTTATTGTTCTACTCAAAGCAACAAGACACACATTCTTAGCCAATCAGGAACCGTCGGTACTTTCCGTAATCGAGCAAATACGGAAAGTGCCGACGGTTCCCGATTTATTCTAAGCACGCACACTCATACACTACGTACTTTACATCCCTTCCTACAGCCATAACATCTTTTGTCGATACAGATGCCAGCCATGTAAGTGTCCAAACAGAAACAGGAATCCCAGTCGCCTACTTTACAGCAGTGGGATGTGTCCTTGTGAAAATTATTCTTCCCAAATGGTGACGCAGCTGAAACATAAACATAGCACAATGGTAACTTGTTAGTAAAACATGGAGTTGAACTCTAAAATGTACATGATGATTTGACTTATATTAATTTGTCAATTTTCACGAGACCAATTTGAATACATCTCAGAAGGGTACTCAAATACAAAGTTTGAAAATTGCAGGTGACAAAACAGGAAAGATTAATGATAGAATAAACGAACTGACTACCTCACGGACGAAGTGAAACCAAAAAATAAGGATATAACCTGTATGTCATCACTACTGCACGATAATAAAGAAATTAACAAAAACAACAATGCCTGTATTCATATGAGACTTGGTCAAAAGTGATAGAGCACTACTATACACCACTTGATTCTGTAAAAGCACCTGCCTCGCACTCCTGTCTGAGCAAGTTATCCCCGAGATATTTGGAGTTATTGTTACCACCATGAATTAGTCATGATTAGTATTTCATCGGCCCGTAAAGTAAACATGTCTTTATTCCGTCTTTACGTGTTGCAGAGTTATCTTCTCTTGAGAGCAGGTATTGATTATTACGTCATTGGTTTGTGTGAGAAAATTACGTCGTTTTCTCAAACATTGATGACGTTACTCTCACAAACAAATGACGTAACAATCAATCCCTGCTCTCAAGAGAAGATAACTCTGCAATACGCAAAGACGGAATAAGACAACAGGAACTGGGGAATTACCAAACAAAAGGAAAGGCATCACCGCTCCCGTAAAAATCCAAACTAATCGTTAGGGAGGGTAATCGTTTCAACGAGCCCAGAGTTGAAAAAGAAATAAATAATTAGAGTTTACTCAATATTTCGTGGCATAGTAAGTCCTAAATACTTTGTTTATCCTATAAGATAATTGTCTGCACCGTGCATGTGTTTTTCTTTAATATTATTATGATACTATAGTGTTGGATCTTGTCTGATCTGGTTTGACCAGTGTTGCCTCATCCTCGATACTCCAGGGGTTACGCTCACTTTCGATCTCTACATGCCTGAAATATGTCATAGCAAAATCGAATGCGACGCCTTGTAGATGAGACAAGAAGACTAGTTTGATCCTTTGATGTACATCAAAAGAATCTCGCGGTCGCGTAACGGTAAAACTTATTGGCTTTGAAGTTGGGCATCGATCATCTGTAACCTTCAAAGGACAAGATTCAGCCCTGTGATTGGTCAGGTTTTGGTACCTGACACCAATCAAATAGCTAGTCGTTTGCCTTAAATTTTGCTATGAGATATTCCAAGGGTGTGGAGAGCGAAAGTAAGCGTAACCCCTGGATATCGAGGATGGTACGTACGATCTTATTTCTAATTTCACATCATTTATTTGAACAGTATTCATCTACCGCAGCGACAGAATAGGTTTAGGTGAATTGAACAAGCAATAAAGAATAAATAAAAAAGTACAAACTTATACAATGCAATAAATATTTGGCATTCAGAATTGTTTTTTCCCAAAAGAGTCCATGACAACGAGAATTCAATGACAGACTGTATGCCAACATCAAGTTTACACGTATATTGGCACAATCCAGTATCTAGTACCTAAAAGCTGAACTACACACATTCCAGATATTAAGTAATGGGTTCATTTGAGATATAAGGACTAAATCTCGCTTGATTTCGATTTCATAAAGGTTACTTAATTGAGTAAGTCTTTAGACAAATTCGACATCAACTGCTTCGCTGTTCAAAGCCCCGCCCCTTTATCAATGCATCACAAAGCAAGATGAATAATATAATTTTAAAAACAGACCAATATGTATAAGCTTGTCGTCTACGTGTTGTGTTTGTAAGGTATACCATGTCAATAGTTGACGTAATAGCATGAATTACCTGTGCTAAATGTTACACCTCTAAGTTATGCAAAGTAGAGTTGGAAAGTTTCCATTTTTTTCTTTGCTTCTAGTTTTATTGTAATTGTGTCCTACAGACAATCCATATATATTTACATTAAGTATGTTTTGATTATGCAACTAAAATGTATATAGCATTTATTATAGCAAGGTATTTAATCACCAAATATAGATGGCATGTCGTTGTTAATAGTGTTGTTTAATAACAGGGCGCATACATCACTCGTCAGAACACTAACTCACCTAACTGTAACAGGGCGCATCACCTAACTGTAACAGGGCGCATCACCTAACTGTAACAGGGCGCATACCTCACTCGTCAGAACACTAACAATCACCTAACTGTAACAGGGCGCATCACCTAACTGTAACAGGGCCCAACCTTACCCGTCAGAACACTAACAATCACCTAACTGTAACAGGGCGCATCACCTAACTGTAACAGGGCCCAACCTCACCCGTCAGAACACTAACAATCACCTAACTGCTTGTTACAACGTTTATAAACACTGCGTCGTGATGTGAAAAATGCTCAAAATAGCGTGTGAGAGAGAAAATAGAGAGAGGGGGCGGGGGGAGAGTTGGACAAAATTCTCTACCGGCATCCCAGTTTTCAAGCTGACCAGACAAAGTTCTGAAAATCTAAATGAAGGCAGCCATTGTATCCTACTTTTGTTATCTCAACGTTGATTGGTTCGCCAAATCACTGTGAGACTTTTTTCATTGAATGAACCAATCAGCGTTGAGATAAGAAAAGTAGGACACAGTGACTGCCGCATTTAGTTTTCTTATCGTTTGTCTGTCAAGCTTGAAAACCGGACTTGGGTTTGCTACAGGAAGAACTATTACACAAGTTAGTGCGTAGCATTGAGCTGAAACTGAATTGACAACCTTTGTTTGAAGTTATCTAATTGGGAATTCAAGGTGTTATCACTGGGATAGTACAGCACCCGACATACTGAAATCACATAATAGTCATTGTATTTTGATGTTTTATGAACTCTATAGGAAGTTGCACGACCTGAAATATAGTAAATCATATTTTGAATTGAAGATAAATTATTTACCTTAGTTTATTTGGGCAATTAAGTTATACTTACCTTTATATTAGAATAGGTATATTTGACAGACGAGGCTAGTGTCTGTTATATATACATATATATCTTAAGCAGTGCAACTCAATTGTATAAAAATGCATCATAAATCATTATCATGGTGTGTGTTTAACTAAACATTCCTGCTCTAGGTGGTCGAAATAGCCTTCTAAGATATTTACATCATGCACGTTTATCCTGCCATATGAAACTATGTAGAAGATGTTATACTTACCTACAACAACAAGTGTTGTCACTAACAGTAGGTATATCCTCGTCATGGTTAATCTTTAAATATACAAGTGTGTTGTCGGTGACACATAATTATTCTAACACACATTGGTAGCTGTTGTCTTTTTACGCTGCCATGTTTGTCACTGAAATAAATACAGAAGCTTTACACTTGGAAATCCTCAAGCATGCGTTGATCCATATTCAGTAACAGCTTGGCTGACGTGAAGACTCGGCCGTAAGACGAAGCGAGAGTTAAACACGGTGTCGACCGCACGCCCCAGGCATAACACGTACAGTAGCCTGACAATTATAAGAGCAACGCTATACACCTATTTTACATTAGCCATCCATTGAGCCGATCAACGTTATTTCCATTACGTTGACAGCTATGGTTATAAAAGACACGACGTTTTGACATTTTGGTTATTTATTTTCCTCGTTTATTAGATCTATCTCTTATTTGTCTGAGTAATTGAATTAATTACTTTTCACCAAGTTAACTAAGGATTCGTCGCTACTGAGATACGAGCAAGGTGTCATTCTCGAAATAAGTATTCCGCTCTCAAATATCAGCGATACTCAATGGGAAACGCTCCCTGCACTCATGGAATATGTAAAAGTAAAAATCAAATGCACATATGGTTACCTATTGGATTTATCTCAGGTTAGGAAAAACAACTTACAAATCGCTTGGATGTCTTTTGAAGATTTGAAGAGAGACCCGACTTCAAAGCCTGCCAATTTTACCGCTAACCTGCCGCGAGATTATTTTGATGTACATCGAAAGATCAAACTAGTCTTACCATGAAATGGGCCGAACCCCTGGAGTATCTAGGGTGGTTCTGGGTACATATGTCGTCTCTGTCCCCTTGATTGGAGGCACTTGGGAAGCTGCTAGATATGTGTAATCAGGTATAGAAAAACAACCAATCGCTAGGCTGATAACTGTTGTTAGTAGCCAAAGGAAGACAGACAGACATTCTGTATTTCCTTGTAGGTCGAGATTATTACAGAAAAAGTACATTCACAAAATGTACATTCGCACTATTTCTTGCATTTCATGAATTGTTCTGTCATTATTCATATGGCATTTAAGAAGTGACTCATTTCATTGAACATTGTTTTCAGCGTTCTTGATGTGTTTATCATCAAACATTCCCGGATATCATCATTAAGACGTATCCATAACGCTTCGATCACCAAGAAGGAAACTACACTGTTCATTATCACCTAAGTCTAAAAACAATGAAATCATTAATGTCTACAGTGTTCACTACTTGGTTAAATAATAGGTCTCTACTTTTGTACAGATTATGACACATAATCAGGAAATGTCCACATACACGACATATCGACTTCTCTGTCACATAAAGAAACAAAACTTTCACCATTTCACAAGCAGACACAGATGATTTGTGCGTACTTAACTGTATCACTGAATTTACTCCATGGAAAGAATGAATCTGAGCGTATCTGTGCAGCTCTGGCCTATAGTTCATATCCTCGCGCCATTGTCGATCGTAAAAGTTATTTAGAAAACTTTTCAAAAAACGACTCGTGGAGGTACGAATTCGTTAAAGATGAAATCATTTACGAAAGAAATGATACCGAACTTTTCAAAAATACGCATAATATCAGGAATGAATCCTATTCGAACTTGACTGCAAGGTTCGTATAAAGCATCGAAAATTGTACTAGGAATATTGCCTTCCATATAAATGAGATGCTACCGTTGTTTGTGTCTCCACTGCATTCCATATAGACTGAGTACCGAGTGACTGAGCGGTTGCTAAAGTTGATGACGTTTTTGGAAGACCAAGACTGCGTCTACAGGCGTATCTGTGTTTTATCTAGCTCTAAAACAGCATTTTTTTGTTTTAATGTTCCATAGCTCACAGCCATACAACATAGATGGGAATACTACACGTTTCACTATGTTTGCACTAATCAGGGGTTTGGTTTGGTTTGGTTTAGTATTGTTTAATGTCTTATCAACAGCTATGGTTATTTAAGGAAGGTCTCTGCTGTGTGTAAGATGCATGCGTGTAGTGTATGCGTGTGTTTTTGGGAGGTTGTGATATGCTCGTGTTTGTCTCCTTGTGGTAGTGCGGAACTGAGGCCGACTTTATAGTGCTACCTCACTGAAACATACTGCCGAAGACACCCAGCGGGACACCCCACTCGGTCACATTATACTGACAACGGGCGAAGTATGCAGTCCATTTTGATAAATTCAAATTCCTGCCAATGAGTTCAATGATTTCAGACCTTTTTTACTCGCTTCAATCATTGGAATAGTTTAAATGAGATTTGGAGTAAATCTTACACCAGCGTATGTTTTGATTGTTGTCCACTGCATTTCACTGCCTCCAATAGTTACCTTCATCGAGGGAAATCTAACACTCGAACGACCAGCAGAGAAAGCCATCAGAGAGCTCTTACTAAAATTGTACGTAAGTCTCCATTTACAAGAATAAGATATCAAATTAATTTTGTATCAACTGCAGGAATGCAGCCAGCACTAGGGCGTCATCAGCTAGTAGAATACAAGGTATGTGGAGCTTGCTTATGCGAAGAGCGAAGTTTTCCGAGTCAAGCTGCCATGCAAGGTCATCGATTGATAAAAGAAAGCACCACGCGGAGAGCACACGAACTTGACCGAGTCTTTGCAGAATTGGGTACTGCTCACTCCGCTTTCCGTCAAATAAGACTGTAGAAAAGATATTCTTGAAAGAGTATTAGAGAAGCGGCCAACATTTACCATGGATGCCAAGATATACTCCACTATAATGCTGTTTATTTAACTTTTGTGCTTCCGCGCGATTCCTTTGAATTTTTATCAAAGACATCATATGATTCTGCTTTTATCTTCCCCAAAGTATCATGTCAGAACAAGTCAAGTCGATTCTGTCCAGACTTATCTAGGGGTGAAGAAAAAAATGACTTTTTATTGAAAGCGGAAACTTTTTTTTTGAGGGTTTCAAAGATGGTAAGGTGTTTGTTTATTTTTTGTGTTCTGGTTTTTACAGTTATCTCCCCTTTTGATATAACTGTAGTACATTTGGGTCAGGACATTAATTAAAGCCACTAAGACAAACAAAAACAAAACTGGGGACACTTCCGATGTTCACGCAGTCGGTTTAATCGACAGTAAAACAATCCAATTAAAATTGTTGCATATAATAAGCAATACCTCTCAAAGCGAAATCAATCTTCAATACACATCAAGTTTATTTGTCTCAATTTCTCTGTAACATTGAAATATATTTTGGCTTTGTTATATTCATATTTCAAAATCCCTCCTTACTACCGGTTAACGCTATTCAACGTTTGTTGTACCGGGGCCTGAGGTCCATGGTCCGAATCCCCGTATTGCTCCGATGAAGGTTTGCACCCAGAACATTATTGTTTACATCATTACTTTTCATGAAAGTTCTACAAGGTATTACTTTCTTTTCAGAAAGGATTTATCAAAGCTATAGTCACGTGGGTATCATCATGAGGCCATATTTGTTAATACATCACATGAAACAAGAGAGGCTAACCATGTCAGAAATGCAAGATTGCACGGGACAGTAAATGACAGCTCACTTGCAAACAAACGTGAAAGAAAAGTTTGTTTTTGTTGTTTCCGTATAGCCAGTATATGTAATAGTATATTTGAGAAAACGACATTAAGGCATATTTATGAATGTATGTACTGCACTTCAGCCAATTTAAGTGCGCTAATAAGTCCTAACACCTTCGTTCCGCTAAAATTTGATTGCGCTAATATAAATACGCTTACATTATTTGATATAGCAAAACACTTTGCATACCTAGTTCACGTCACGGTTTGAAGATATTTCGTACATAATATATTGACACAAACGTGATAAAACAAAGACCCACTGTATCACCGGAATGTCACCACTGTCAAATCAAAGCGAAGTACGTTTGATACATTGTCTTCATGCTTGTTGACACATTTCTGTTGTTGTTGCTACTATTGTACTGTATACTTGCATTTTGTAAAGCGAAAACATTCTTAACACATACCTATCATAGCAATTTGCCATGGAATGTAACTTTGGCCGTATTTGATATTAATGGAGATAAAAAGAATAGCATTATGCCTCAAATAAAATATATATATATCGCGTGGAGAGACAGTAGATATCTGTGAACTATATCGTTTCTTATCTCTCAAAATAGGTCAGTTTTGTGACGTTTTTGACACATGTCTTTTTTATTGATTTTTCCACGTTCCCGTCGATTACAGATACATGTACACATATATTCCTACTTGTAAGGTCAATGGAAATTAGACTTCAGTAAAACATAAAAATGACATACGTAAACAAACCTGTACAGTCATAAAATCTTCATGGTTATTGTCACCGAATTAAGCAAATATATTAAAATTTCATAAAAAAATGCGAATAGACATGAAACATTGAAGTATGATTTCCGTTTGAATTTTTTTTTAATATTTTTGTTATTGTTGACCTCATTACATAGCGTAAATACCCTAATTTTCGTGGATCAATTTTTCGCCATTTTTACTTAAAATGAGGAAATTTATTTTACAAGGAGTAAAATTCTAATTCGGTATCGACCGTTTTACGCCAGGAGTATTTTTGCAAAATTCAAATAGTTTCTTCTCAATGTCAGAGTATTTATAGAAGCCACATGCTCCACTGTCCTAACACGCCAAACTTCCTACATAGGTATCAAAAACTCTCGAGACTCATTAATGTGGGGGAAATAGTTAAAATAGGGTTACACAATTTGATTTTAGTGGGAAGAGTGTTTTCCTACACTGTAAAGCTGACTTGTTTTGAGATAAATTAAAGTTTCCATTATAGTTTAACAACAGCCAATACAGCAAAACTAGACATGTTCTAGTAGGCTAATGTGCAATTCAAATACCACTTTTTGTTTTTCTGCAGGTAAGAAAAACAATAACTTTGGTGTTACAGGAACATGAACCGTCAGCTTTCTGTTTTCAGTATAACCTTCAAGTTTGTGAAGCATTGACTGAACTTTTTCGGAGAGCAAGGCCATATCATCTGCGTACATTATTAGAAATATGGACATACGCCAGTAATAAATTCAGCTCGATATCTCCCCTTTTCAAACCTCCATCTTATATAAAGCTTTCCTGTTTCAGAAATTCTCGTTTACGGAACGTACCGACGGTTCTCGGAGGCTCGTTCTCGATAGGGTTTGTGTACACACAGTAACCTCTATTTAACTCCGGATTGGAGACACTTCGTCTGGCAAAGGTAACTCAGTCGTATTTTCTTCATAAAAATCACGCAAG